GTTGGCTAAGTCCACCTATGAGAATAAACTCTATGCGATCTATAAAGCACTGATCTCCTTGGAAGATTCTTCGTCAGGACCGATCATCAGACCCTGAGGTGGATGAGGGAACAGCATGTACTCTCCGATGCTTTGAAACGCTATAACAGTATGACTTCGAACCTCGGTACGTCAAAGGGGAGTACAACAAAGTTGTTGATGCGCTGTCCTTGGTGCGCTGATCGCTGAGTTTGGGCGTGCGGGCAATGTGACTCGGTCCTTGGTGGAAGCCTATCGTGAGGATCCATTAATGGCAGAGACCATACGCATGCTGGAGGCGAAGGACAAGGTGACTTGTGACGAGTTTGTGTTGGTCGATGGCCGGTTGTTCCTCGAGAAGGCCGGGAATAAACGTTTGTGTGTACCAAACAGGGTCTTTGCGTCGTCTATTTTTAGGCGAGTGTCATGATGCCACATGACATTTTGGCTATAAGAAAACTGTAACAAACTCACTGCAACAGTTCCCACAAATATGATAGACGCCAAGCTGTACGCGGAAACTTGTCAGGCGTATCAAAGACGAACCACGCACACAGGCCCCTCTTGGGCTTCTCAAGCCCCTTCCGATTCGAGAAAGGCCCGGTGAGAGCCTGTCCATGGATTTCATAGATACGCTGGTCACCAGCAAGAGCGGTATGAGACTTTTTTTTTGTCGTTGTGGATAGATTTAGTCAGTACGCCAGGTTAGTCGCCATGCCTGAAACAACCAAGACCGAGTACACGATTAAACTGTTTAAAGAGAACTGGGTCAGAGACTTTGGACTGCCAAAGTCTATTGTTAGTGACCAGGATGTGCGATTCACGAGCTAGTTGTGAAAGGCTGCAACTGCTGAACAAGGGACACAGCTGCAAATGACCTTCACGAAAAAATCGGAGGCAAATGGGCAAGTAGAGCAGCTGAACCGCGCTGTACAACACCAGTTGAGGCACTATATCAAGCCTCATCAGGTGGACTGGGATGAGAAGCTTGCTCTCGTCGCCAGTCTATACAACAATGTTGTGCACAGCGCAACAGGGGTGAGCCCCAACAGTCTGCTACTAACTTTCAAAGCCGACTGCCTCTAGATTTCTTATTACCTGAGAACCAATCCACAACAAGCAGTGGATCAGATGCACAAAGCACATGTGGCTATGATAGAGTCTGAGAACAAACATCACCGCCCGTCTGCATTTCGGTTGGGGATTGAGTTTGGGTGAAGTCATCTCAACTTGGGCAAGAACACGAAATCTCCCGTAAGGTCATGCCTAGTGTTTCGGACCCTGGGAGGTTTTAGACGTGGCCGGATGAACCTTCCTATCTGGAGCAAATCCCTGGTCACCTTCGCACCTACCTTGTCTTTCACGCCTCCAAACTCGCACCTTTTAAGTTAATTGTCCAGTTTCCCTCTCGACGGTCAATGCTGCCCCCAACCATGGATGGTGGTCGACATCAACGACATAGTTGACCACAAGGAAATGTCGGTTCCAAGACCAACAGGCAGGGGCCGTCCTCCGAAGTCGAAGCTGCAGTATCGCGTTCGATTCAGACATCACACTGATCCAAAAGTGGACAGATGGTTTACGAGGGAGGAACTGATGCAGACCGCTCCACAGGTTGTCGCTCACTATGAGAAGCTGCTGCAGAAACGAAAGCGCCAAATTCAGTAAACTTCTCAAAGGACTATCGAAGTATGGAGGAGGGAATGCAAGGATCAAGGCCTCGGTAAGCCCTACTGGGCAAGAACGACCGCCCTAAGTGAAGGCGGGCCTAATAAGTGACAAGAGGCCTATTTTGCGTTTTGACGCAGCTTGGGAACTCCAGGCTATGCCGCGACGGTTGGTTGAATGCGCCCAGGCCCTGCCTGCCAACCTCTCGGGCCTTCAAGCCCTTTATCAGATGAATCGGATGCAGGCCCCAAACCAGATATAGGGCATGAACTGAACACAGGCCGATTTGGTAGTTGGACACGAGTAACCTTCCCAGGCCCTGTGGAAGATCCCCTGGGACTGGGGCTCAGCCACTTAGGGCCCACCAGAGGCTTATGGGCAGGGGCCCAGCGTAGCCAGGCAGCACGCAACAGGCAAGCCACTTCCATTAAGGAAAGTGTCTACCTCCGCATTTGGCATTCGGGCACTCGCTTCTTATGCGCAAGCCCTGCTGCTGCAGCGAGTGCCCACGCTCTCATGGGCGAGCAGGGAAGAAGTAGGCATCCATAGCCAAGCTGGCTTGCACGTTGCTAGATGGAGCGCATGGTGGTCCTTGGGTGCACGTGGCATTTGTGTGGGCGATGGAGGTTGTGTGTGAAGCGTGAGACATACCTGGTGCTTGAAGCGAACGACATTGGCCAAGATTTGCTCGTACTTCAAGAAGTTGTTGACGTCACCAGCGGCATTTTAGGTAGGCTAGATAGGATCTGCCATTCGTAGTCTGGGCGCCGAGCGCCAGATAGGGATTCGACATTGGTTCTTTGTTGATAATGATGAGACTATTCCAACATTGTCGCTTGTAAACTTTTGCTGTGCGCTTATTTGGTGGAACTCGAGTTGCAATTCTGCTTGTGGTGACTATTTGGTTTCATGCTTATGATGCTGCTTGGTTTCTGGAGTTTGCTATCGCTCATTTTCCTTGCACTAATATAAGTATCAGATTATGGGTTTAGTGAAATATTTAACATTTTCAATGATTCTTTTTCGTTTAGGTATTTGGGGAATTTTTTAAAATAGAACATAATATCCTTATTATGTTAATGTCAATTTAGTTTTTCCATCAATGTTTTCATCATCATCTGTTCTGCACTCAATTCGGTTTAAGACCATCTGCTCGATTTTTGCCTATTGGAATCTTTTCGAATTTAAAATCAAAAGTCTAGGTGAAGGCAATCCATCTGCTTACTATTGGATTTAGTTGTTGATGTTTTTTTATAGCACCAATCACTGCAGATGCATCAATTCTCATAATGAATCTTCTTCCAAGCACATAGTGCCTGAAGCACCTGAGATAGTGGGTAATTATAAGTAGGTTGAATTGAGAAGTCATGTTTTCAAACCTTAGAGGTCTTTCTTTTCCACTCTCATTTTTTTTGTACAAGTACACCACGAAGACCTACTGGTCCTTCATCCGCCTCGATGATGAAAGGTCTTCCCTCTTCATCATTATAATAAGGCACTTCCAACACTACACCTCGATCTTTCAAGAAAACTTAGGTTTCTGCAACAATTTGCCTTTTCTCTGTCCATGATAGGTCAACCCTTTGTCTTACCATCTCTCGTAGATGCTTTGCAAGGGTAGCAAAATGAGGAATAAACATCCTTCAAAATCCGCAGACGCCCAAGAAACTCCTAACATCTGGCAGTCGCTTGAGGGGCAAGGGTCGGTTCAAGATCTTATCTAACTTCTTGGGATCGAGACTCCTACCCTTGGAAAATCATCTAAACCCTAAATTGGTTACTTCTGCTTAAAAAAGAAAAACATTGAAAGCCTAAGATGGTTACTTTCTGCTGGAAAGAGAAGGGACTTTGGTCCACTGACAGTTAGATTATACTTTTGAAGTCTTCTATGACCAACTTTACATCCACAACATGAATCCGAGATGAATTTTTTGACCCCATCACCAATCAAAGCCTCGTATTTTACTACGGGTCCTTCCACTGGGTTATCATCAATATAGGGGCTGGTTATCTCAAGAGAAATATCCTGCATGGATCATATCCGTTTGAACCATCGCGACACTATTAGTCCACCGTTGTGGTACCTCGCACATTTGAATAAACCCTCTTGGTGAGTGCATGGCGGTTATTGGTCGGCTTATGGGATTAATGGGAAACTGATCATAGCCCCGAAATGGTTTCACGCAGGTAACCAGACAATTGCAGACAGAGAGATTTGATTCCCATACCCGTGCCCGGACCCTGTACATTGACCCTGTGTGCTGAGTGAGTTTCCATCCCTACACCTACCTGTACCCTATACATTGACCCTGTGTGCCGAGTGAGATTCGATCCCAAGACCTATCCTGCACCCTGTAGATAGGCCCAACGATCTGGTGAGAGTCAATCCCTAGGTCTGTAGGTTAAGAGTTGAGTTTGTTACCAGTAGGCTTAAAAAAGTATGTTCTAGAAGTCCCTACCTATGTTTCCTGTGGACCTAAAGCCTGTCCGTCGGTCGATAGGTTCTAGAAGTCCGTAGGTCCCTGTAGGAAAGTCCAGCCAGCAGGTACCAGGGGTAGGGGCGAAGCCTCTTCCTCCTCTTCCTCTTCCTCCTCTTCTTCTTCCTCCTCTACTTCTTCCTCTTCTTCCTCTTCTTCTTCTTCCTCCCCTTCCTCTTCCTCCTCTTCCTCCTCTTCCTCTTCCTCCTCTTCCTCTTCCTCCTCTTCTTCCTATTCCTCCTCTTCCTCCTCCTCCTCTTCCTCCTCTTCTTCCTTTTCTTCCTCCTCTTTTTCTTCCTCTTCTTCCTCTTCCTCTTCTTCTTCTTCCTCTTCTTTTCCTCTTCCAACTCTTCCTCTTCTTCTTCGTCTTCTTCTTCCTCTCCTCCTCCTCCTCCTCCTCCTCTTCTTCCTCTTCTTCCTCTTCCTCCACTTCCTCCTCTCTTTTCTTCTTCTTCCTCTTCCTCCTCCCATCTTCCTCCTCTTCTTCCTTTTCCTCCTCCTCTTTTTCTTCCTCTTCTTCCTCTTCCTCCTCTTCCTCTTCTTCTTCTTCCTCTTCCTCTTCTTCTTCCTCTCTTCCTCTTCTTTTTCTTCTTCCTCCTCCTTTCCTCTTCCTCCTCCTCTTCCTCTTCCTCTTCCTCCTCCTCCTCTTCCTCCTCCTCTTCTTCCTCTTCTTCCTCCTCTTCCTATTCCTCCTATTCCTCCTCCTATTCCTCCTATTCCTCCTATTCCTCCTATTCCTCCACTTCCTCCTCTTCCTCCTCTTCCTCTTCTTCTTCTTCCTCTTCCTCCTCCTCTTTTTCTTCCTCTTCTTCCTCTTCTTCCTCGTCCCCTTCCTCC